ACATTATAACACCCTCACGGCTGAAAGGGCGAGCATGTTTGGTGTGACGGGGATTCGAACCCGCGACCCTCAGATTGCGAGTCGAGCGCCTTATCCACCTGGGTATGCCGGGCCAAACTTCAAACAAACTAGCTGCCATTATAGTCCGTGGAGTTATTTTTATTGTTTTTGATAAATTGTAACTGCAGTTATGTAAAGGCGATTAATTCGACTATTTACACAGTGGAAATAACCCTAAGAATATTTCGTTATTTTATAAAGTTGTTCGTTTTTTATTGACTGATTTATACTGTGCATAAACTAAGGTACAGTGTTTCATAACGTTGGTGAATAAAAATAAGATGCATTAAATTCGTCTGTCGTAAGACACGTTAATAACAGAAGCTGCAGAATAAACAACGGTACGTGGACAATTATACTTGTCGTAAGACATTAGTATTAGGCCTATTACATTACCAAGTATAATCGTAAACATTCTTCGCCAGCTTGTAAAAGGCTTACACACCATAACGATTGTTAACATTATATATATAATTTTTTCTTTAATTTATCCAAAAAATTTTAACGTCATTGATATTTTGTTATCTTTAAGGTACGTTAGTTATTTCGAACAATATCAAGAATATGACCCTTTCCTGACCCCTCCCGAGCCATCAAGTCCCTGGGTGTCTGACAGTCCGGAATTTTGGGAGGTAGAAAAACAGACGTAAGTATTTAAAAACACGTGGTAGTTCCACGTGTTTATTACATAAATCGACTTTATATATATATATATGTGTGTGTGTGTGTGTGTATAAAGAACTAATTTAAGAAATGCATAGTTATCACAGAAAGAAATGTTCGTTGGATAAGAGTTAAGTAAAGTATGATATAAGTTTAGATTTACAACAAACATTACTCTATCGTTTCAGACAAACGCCCTTGTTCTGGTAGATTTGAAACCTAAAACTCTTAAAATCCGACAGCTGTATGCAACATTTAGAAATATTCTGAAAGACAGAAAAATTATTTGTTGAAAACAAGAAAATTACAACTGTGCATGATACATTACAATTCAATGAAACCTGTGAACAATATCCCGTTTAACCAATGAAATTTGTAGTATCTTTCTGGGATAGTAACTATATTAATGTTCTATAATATTTCTCTTTATTTATACCTCATTCTCATTATAGCTTTATTATGTTTGAGTTTTAATTACTTGTGCTTTCTTATTAATTGCCATACTACTTGTAAAATATTTAACTGTATTTATGTTTTTCTTACTTCTAATAAAACCCGTGCAATGTAAGTTTTCTATCTATTCACTCTTGTTGGACACATCAAGACACAGACAGTGACTTTGGAAACGTGAAGACGTAGATAGTGATATTGGACATCTAACTAATTCTTCTGGATTTTATTCATTAATTTGTTGTTATAAAATAGTTTTTACAACAACACATTAGTTGTTAGTCTTTTTTGTTAGATTTGTTTATTAATCGTATTACTTTTAACCACCAGCTCTTTCTGTTGCTTACAACTAACATACTTATATTAGCCATATATACCCGAAGAAGAGCGTTCACCTGAAACGTTGTATAGTGACTTTTCTCTATGTTTATTTATATTTAATAATATTATTTCCAATGGAACGTCCGTAAGTATAACATGTGTGGTGCAGCTGTTATCAGGTCTTCCAACCATAGGTTCTCCTATGTTTTGTTTTAATCGGTTAGTATCTTTATGTACATAAAACTATATACCTTCTTAGCTCCCACACGAGGCAAGTATAGTCTACACTGCGTTCATCTTCCTGAAACTGGTTATAGAGAGCCATCAGAGACATTTCATATTCCTCTTGGTTGGTGGCGCCATCAACCAATTTCTTACCAGTACTTCTGTTTCTAAACATGTTGTTTCCACGTGTTAGCAGATGATGGTAACGTTTGGAGAAGCAGCAGTATTTTGAACTGACTAAAATAGTCTAATCGACTGTCTCAGAAAGCAAAGAAGAAAGAAAAACCGTGACTAAGAACAAATGTCACTTTGGAAGTACCAGAACTTAAGAATATAAAGAAATCACGTATTCTCCTATATGGTTTAGATATTAGCTAAGACGTTCTGATATCTCACAAAATACAAATAAGTCATAAGTTTCTAATCAACTGTATAATTGAAATGAACACGGATGAAAGAAATCTATTTCTAACAAACATACTTTATATATGAGTTATGTGTATTCTTTTTTCGGAATGTTTCACAGGTGGTTCATAAATAAATATACCTAAACAGATTATCTTGATTTTAAACTAGGATTGTTACGGTATATAACGATTAATGCTGGAAAAGCGTGATCTATTGGGCAATAATTTGTGTGAAATTACATTAAAATAACACTGATAAATAATTTTGTACGAATCTTTCTTTATTGACCCTATACTATAGTTTTTCGGTAAGAAGAAACAATAGCATCTCAACCGCACACTACTGCTGACATGGTCTTTGGATAACATCAGAGATAATCAGGTCGGCCGACAACGCAATACATACATTTCATGCGATAAAATATGCGGTCGAGATGCTTTTATGTTTCTTCTAACTGGAAACCCGTAGTATTGGACCAGTATAAAAAGTGTTATAGAAAATTAATATCAGTTTTATTGTGATGTAATGCCACCCAAACTAGTGGTCAATAAACTAGGACTATTTCTAATCACTCTACAGTCGCACTAAGTCTGCTGTGATTATGTACATTTTGTCTCTCCTTTCATTCTCTCTCTCTGGATCGGAATTTAGGTCGTTTTACGACCTGGGAGGATCAGGTTCTAGTAGACCTCTTCCTCTCTTCTGTGCTGGTATTATATGTTATCTCTCCTTTTGTTATTATTATTATTATTGTTGTGTTTTGAATTTCGGGCAAAGCTACACGAGGGCTATCTGCGCTAGCCGACCCTAATTTAGCAGTGTAAGACTAGAGGGAAGGCAGCTAGTTATCATCATCCACCGCCAACTCTTGGGCTACTCTTTTACTTGGGATTGACCGTTACATTATAACGCCCCACACGGCTGAAAGGGCGAGCATGTTTGGTAGGATGGAGATTCGAACCCGCGACCCTCAGATTACGAGTCGAGCGCCCTAACCACCTGGCCATGTTATTATTATTAGAACTACAAACAATTAACCGCTATAGTTTTAGAGATATGAAAATTAGCTTGTGTATAGTCACCGATAACCAGAAAATGAAACTTCCTGTATAAAGAACAGAAACAAACGTATCGTGAGGGTAAAAATCAAAGTGGTGTAACGGGGATTTCGATACGTCAACACTCCAAAAGAATGAAACTTATCATTATTGATGATACAAAGAAAGTTACAAGATTCGTATTCTGGTATATAAGGAAAGAAGATGTACCATATATTAGTCAGTTATGACTTGTGTTAAATTTGTTATTAGTTGCTTTTTCAAAAGTGGTGATTAGGCATAGTTTTTATAATTGTACCCGCTTTACGAAAGTACTAAGGCATAAATTTGAAAACCATGTCTGTTTGAAAAAGCAACTATGACTGCTCCATGAAATCACGTAGCTAGGGTTAGGTTTTAATAATCGTGTTTTGGTGGTTACAAAAGTAGTTCCTGTTGAAGAAAGCGCTACAAATATATTGTTACGTCTCCGTTTGTTAATTGATTTTCCGTATATTCGTTCCGACAAAACTTTAGCGACACAAGTCCTTACTTGATAAAACTGGTTTATTCTTTCCGAATATAACTTTACCGATACACTTATTTTCAACAGTCGCGCTATAACAAACTATAATTCACGTCTCACGAGCTCGACTTCAATAATACGTCTCTCTCTCTGACTGCAGTTCAATTACTCATTACCTACACACACATTGTTCCGTCACGTTGTCACCCTCTTATATACATACCAGTCTACCCTATATCTAGTAATCTCCCGACTATTCCCGAAGGTTCGAGAGAAGTGGCGTGACACTAGTCACGTGACCTCGTTGACGCAACAATATTGATTTTATAGCCATATTAGATTTATAAAAGGGCTAATTAGGCCTAATTTTTATAGTTATGTCCGATTAACCCATTGACTGCTGATTTGTGGTATAGGTTACGATCCGCCTCTGGCAGTTGAATGCGAGTGTGCCGTATACGGTGTACGGCTTGCATAAATTCCGTGTTAACTGAGGTTAGTTTACATAGAAACATTCAAGTTATGAAGGCATTTTGTCGATATGGATGAAACCTTTAAATTTATCAAACTAGTAAGTGGTCTTGGAAAGTAGCAGTAACTTGGTCAACAGTTTTAGTAGTTAAAACACGTATTAAGTAAAGAAATTACCATGAACATATTCCACATTTAAAACTATGAACCTTTTTATGGGATGTGGTGGGGAGTAATTTGAGAAATGCTATGTGTTACATTTTCCTGAAACAAGAAAAACATAGTCTGGCTTGTTAAAAGTGACATGATTTAAGCGTCAGTTATTTCACTGTGATGTTTCATCTCAACCTTCGGCCTAGAATCATATTATTACTGTTACAAGTTTAAATAACAGCAGTCGAGATTTTATGTTATAAATAACATTATTTTCCTCTCTCAGCAAAGAAGTTCCCCCCAGAAGAGTCCGAAGGTGGGCATTTTCTCTCCAGGAGTTACTCAAAGACCCCGCCGGTCGGGAACAGTTTATCAAGTTCCTGGAGAAAGAGTTTAGTGCGGAGAATCTCATGTGAGAACAAATCCAACAAACTTTTCTAAATCGTGAAAAATTCAATGTTAATAGATTTATCACACGTATCTCTGATTCTTAACGATCTAATTAAAATATTTAACCACAGCACTCAGACTTCCCGCTCTTCCAGTTAAATATATCCTCATTCTAAATCGAAAAAAATATATCAATAACATAAAAATTAAAATAAATTTCTAACTTTGAATGAACAAATTTTCCTGTATTTGTTTAAAGGTTATATCGTGTCTTTTATTGTTGCTTTTCTTTTCATTAACTTTTACATTTAAACGTTACTGTATCAAATTAACACAAGCAAAAAAGTCGTTTTAATATTATTTACATTTGAATCATTTTCGTTGTTTTAACAGGAATACAATATTTTATATAATGAAATACTTCCTTTATTTACATTTTAATGTATCTATTAATGAATACATTTATATATTCATTAATCCATCCATTTATATTTCTCTCTTTGACAAGTAAGTTGTCTGAGGTGATAAAGTAGATAAACCAACCTCTCAGAAACATTCCTCATGCCAAATAAGACTTCAACTTGTATCATAACTCGTACTTGTAGTAAGACATGTTTGTTTTTACTGGTATATTTATTAGTGGATTGTTTTGGTTTAGGAAGGAGCTATGAAGAGGATTTGAAGATTTAAGAGAACAAACTCTCTATTATATAGTTCTCCTCTTTTTTACAAAGCTAAGCCTTTATTAAACGGTTACTTTATAAAAGTGATATTGTGTAACTATCCATAATTTACATTCATTAGCATAACGAGAGCATGCAGATCCCTTGTTTCCCCTACCCATTAACCCTTCTCTCACAGCCACAAACGTATAATTATTTCCTTGATTTTATTTTTTGGTCTTTCCCCTGTCATCTTATCATCTAAAGAGAAATTAGTTTAAGCAATAAATAATATAAGAATATAGAAATGACTGAAATCTGATGATAGTTACACTTGCCAATTCTTGAAATTTCTTTGGCGTGCATTCTGTGAAGGAGAAAAACAACAACGAAAACTAGTCTGTTGGGAAGGGGTAAACAGTGGAAAGTCTTGTTTAAAGTTCATAATTATATGTAGATTAATGATGAAAATAACAACTCAGTCGTGTTTTGTTGTTGTTGTTTTTTGTCTCGTTAATTTTAAACTGAGCAAGCTTTCAATTTCTTTCTTCAAAGTCAGTTTGTGTCTGTAAATATACAGAATCTTCTTCAAGATCCACAGTATAACAATTTGGATATTCATTCACCTTTCACTTGACAATCTCCGTGACCTGTGGCTACACAGTTTAAAGCCTTAAAACTGTTGTTGCATTTCAATTGAAGTTTGATTTTCAAGTACAAATGGTACCAAATATTGACTTTCTGAGAAGATTAATTCGACTATGTGCCTTGTGAGGAGCTTTTGAATAAGTTTGTGTACCCAAGTCCGTATAAACTATCTTGTTGGCAGTTCCAAGAGAGGTTCATTGTTTAGCTTGCAATGGAATGCTGTGTTCTTGGGTTATTTCCAGTGCAAATTTATTTAATATCCTATACTACCTCCAGTGTATGACTGGTAGAGGGTCGTGAAATAGCCAGTTTTCCATGCTGAAATAACACCTTCTCTTGCTTTACCAACTCGATTTAAGACTACAGATATCACTTTTTTTTGGAAACGCTAAAGTTTCATGCCTTCCATGCTTTAATCATTACGAGTAAGAGAACTTTCTGTCTGAAATTCGGTGGAAAGCTCACCTGGAGAAGCTGTATGAGCAAGTATTTAAGCATGTTATGACAAATAGAAATGTTGTCGCATTAAACAAAACATATCTCTACTTAAGTGTCTGCAAAACCCCTGGCAATTTATCTTTCTGCAAGTAATATGACATTTTTAAAAACAGCGCAGAGCATGCCACAAAAGTGTTCCAAAAGATTTATGATGGTTGACAGCTATAATGGTATATTAAACTTCAGAAGATTCGAGAAAAATTCAAAATAAGTTCTGCATGTTATCAGGCTAAACATGCTGACATCACCATATTGCAAGAAAATACTATCTTTTGTACAAACTGAATATCAACAATACAGTAGAAACTCAATTAACGAGCACCGTGCCTTTAAGGGTAGGTCTTTTCAGGTTTTTTTTCTACTATTTGTAACCAAGATAAATCTTGCAATAACTGGCATCTCGATATTCCGGATTGAGAGCAGTGTCTTTAGTCTCGTTCTCTATACAGGCACTCGATAAAGTGAGCAGTTATCTTTGTATGCTTGTACAGTATACCACTAAATTCCAAACATCCCAAAAGGATGACCAATATTCAAACACTTGTGATATTTATTGGATCAGCTCTGAACCATATACTGTAATAAACGTTTTCCCATATTCAAAGGCAATCTTATTACTCTGGGGTATTCTCGTTGTAAACACTGTAGGCTACATAAGCTGATAAATTCTACATTGTGTTCTCAGAGTAGGGGTCAAGTCAGCTTATTTCTGTGCACGTCCTTTGTTGCTCTAGAGAGTATCGTACTACAGTGTCATGTAAATAGTAAAATAAACACAGAAAATAAATGTGAAATTTTTAGCAGTTCAAACTCTGAAGAGAAGTACTTTGAAACTCTATGACCAATAATAAAGAAAAAAGGGTACAGCTAATCCACCCTCCTGTTGACAATGCTCCATGTCATGGCAACATGCAACTCACGAACACCCCGTGTCCTGCATACACCAAACAAAATGGGGGTCTTAAAATTCAGAAATTTAGTATGGTCAATAAGGAATCCAGCTTTGTATTGGTTATTTTTAATATTAAGGGAACCTTGCTATAGATGGCATTTGGACTCAGTCAGAAGGGTGCCTTAATGTCGAGGTTTGTTTTGTTTGTTTGTTTGAAGTTAAGCACAAAGTTACACAATGGGCTATCTGTGCTCTGCCCACCACGAGTATCGAAACCTGATTTCCAGCACTGTAAATCTGCAGACATACCACTGTGCCACTGGAAAGGGGCTTATGTCATGGTTCTACTGTGTATGTACTATCAAATGCACCACCACAAGTTCAAGTTAACTTGCCAGATCCTCCACAAAATTCAAGTATAATTGTTGTTGTTATAAAGCACAAAGCTATACCACGGGCTATCTGTACTATGCTAACCGTGGGATATCGAAACCCTAAATTTTCGTTTATATTTGAAGCCTATGGTGGTGCAGTGATAAGTCTCTGGGCTTATAACATTAAAAATATGCTGCACTAATTGTAGACATCTCCCATGGACTTCTGTGCTTTTGGGGTGCTCAAACACAACATTTGAAGTTGTGGTTCGCACGTGTGTAAAGAGGAATGGCATACGACTCCAAATCTGCTGGTTTGAAGCTCCATTACCGAATATGCTCACCCTTTCAGCTGTGGAGGTTTTATAATATGACAATTCCACCATTCATTGGTAAAACAGTAGCTCAAGAGTTGGCGGTGGGTGGTGTTGACCAGCTGCTTTCCCTCTAGTCTATCACTACTAAGTTAGGGACAGCTAGAGCAGATAGCCCTTGATTATCTTTGTGCATAATTAGAAATAAATCAAACCAAAGAGGAAGGGAGAAAATACTGGCATCAGTGTATTGTACAAAAGACTCTTGTATGGGGGAAACTGCACTGCAGAGCAATAGTTCAAAACCAGAGCCATCACACAGAACACCATCGTTGGCAGAAGTGTGGGTTGTAAGGCCTATATATTCATCCTTGGATTTATAGATTGTGAGAACCTCTCTGTACAGTATTGTTAGGAAAAAAAAGTTAATGTCTTTCAATTGTTGTAATTTGTGCAGCACCTTGCTATTATTCTATTGGCATGTGATGTATTATTCATTAAAGTCCAAAATGCTGATTTCAGTTGTGAATTTGAGTTGAAATAAAATACGACTAATATCTTCAGAAAATCATTTTTTTTGCCTTTGGTTTTTTGCTCATCATTGGAGATATTAGCTTTCTTCAGTTGATTGTATATGCTAGGAGCTCCCAAAGAAGGCTAGTATCTGAAATGTTGAGGAAGAAATTAATCTCTTTTAATTTGGTGCATTATTGTCTTTGTAAACATCTTTCTCTCCTCATTCAATATAATATTTTACAAACTTGTTGCCAGTAGGTATCAGTTAATTTGAAGACGGTTCCAAAAGAGGTGATAAAAACTTTCTGTCATTGACAAATATTACCTTACTGTTTTATTTTTTTATTATTACTTTCCACCTTTTATATAAAAATTGTATGTTTTTTAATAAGTGTTTCAGGTTACTGTGCATCTGGACCCCCATCTATATCTAACCTGCTGCTTATACTTATCTTTTATTATTTGACTAGTATCTCGTAGTCATTTGTTTCGTATAACTAGTTTTAACTTAAGCTCTGTGAATGTTATTCACAAATAACTTAACAATTCAACTCATGTAGTGTATAAATGGTAGTTATCAAAGCTTATTAGGCTTGTTGTCTCATAAATGATAAATGTATAAAGTGCCGTTTCAACTGAAACTTTGTAATGTGTAGTCCAGCATACTAGTACTTGATAAGCTCTGACATTTAACGAAACTCATCAGTAAGGGTATGCTGTAGGTAAAACATAATTTAAATGCTATAATTAAATGATATTTTTATCTCTAAAATATCACAAGTAATTCAAATAGCTTTATTTATACATTAACTTGATTCCCATTAATTCATAGTTTTTACCTTAGGTTCTGGGATGCTGTGCAAGAATTGAAACAAGTACATTCCAAAGATGTTCCTGTTAAAGTTCAGGAAATATGGAAGTAAGCTTAGACCATGTATGATGTATAAAACAGTTCTCTTTTTTTCCGAAGTTGAGGCGTTACAAGTAGGATTTGTTTGTTTGTTTTTGAGCAAAGCCACATTGGGCTATTTGCTGTATCTACTGCGGGAAATCGAACCCGGATTTTAGTGATGTAAGTCTATAAACTTACTGCTGCCCTACTGGGGACACTGAAGTAGTAGTTAATTTTTATAACGCTATTATCTCGAGCATTCCATTTATAAAGAAAGGTTATATGAAAGAAGTTATTGCTAGCTAGAAGATATATATGGCTCTGAAACTTCCCACTATAAAAGATTTTGAGATAAAACAAATTAGTGGAATGACGTAATTAGTTCTCTGATTGATGCGGTAGTATTAACATGAACGGTTTGTTATTCTTCATTTTAAATTCTAGTAAATATTATGAATAGCAATACTAATAATATAATTGTTCAATACTTTTTCTCATTCTGTTACTGAAAGAAAAATGTACTCGGGCTGAGCGTGCATTATAATATTGACTTTCAAATCTCACTATTCACTCAGACAAGACAAGACAAGACTCCCAAGAATTAGTGGTGGGTACTGTTGAATAGTGCAGCTATCCCTTGAGTAGCCTTGCACAAATATTCAAAAATTAACAAAAAATTGTTGTTGTTGTTGTTGTGAACCTTAGCCTCATACTTATGGTGAAAAATATTCTTCGAAACTGCTTAAATTGTTTGTTGTTAAGCACGAAATTACATAATGGGTTGTCTGTGCTCTGCCCACTACGAGTATCAAAACCCAATTTTTAGTGATAAGCCCTCAGAATTACTGCTGAGCTGCCGGAGTAAGGTTTATAAAAACTTGCAATTATGTATCCTAAAAAACATAAATAATCACGATTAAAAAAGTTAATCAGAAAAAAGCAATAACCAATTCATTTATGAAAATAAAATGTACTCATGGTAAGATATTTTAAACACTTCTCTACATTAACATAAGATAAATATGTGTATCTGTTCCTTTACTACAGCTCCACATTGGTTCAACAGTGAGTCTGAAGGCTTAAAACACTAAAATCTGGGTTTCAATAGACAATGGGTGCAGAACAGATAGCCATTGTGTAGCTTAGTGCTTAACAGCAAACAAACCTTTACTATGATGATTAAGATCATTATATATGCTCACCGCAAAAGTACTGCCACCCATCAACAGAACTTACAGCTATATTTGTCTGAATGGTAAGGAAATAACCTTTATTTTAACTAATTGGTCATTATTAAGACAAACCAGGCAAGATTAAGAAAAATAACTCTCTCAAGTCAATCATCAAAAGTGATTTTAAAATATTTTAGTGTTTATCTCCAGTTAATTCTGATTTATTTTGAAAATAACTATGTATTGTCATTGTAATTTATTAATTAAAAAGTGTCAAATTAAATGTAACATATGACTTCAATAATTTTCACACTTTATAAATAAATTATATTGTAGTTTTTCTACAGACTGTGGCCTTATTATGAAAGAAACTTGTCACAACAAAAAAGTAAATGTAACGTAATTTCTCAAAAGAAAACACATTGCAAATGGCTCCTGAAATGACATTGAAATTGTGAGTAGTATTAGTTAGCAAAAACTTTTCAAAATACTGGTATTCTTAGTCATTGTTGAAAAAAAAATGGAAAGTTTAGTATCTTGGACAAAAAATATTGAAAATCTTTAAAGTTTAAATAAAGTTAAACCAGTAAGAAACAGGGAAGAATGTTTTACTTTTTCTAGTAAAATATACCTTAAAAGTACATTTACAAAATTTTCATGATTTTTTAGCGAATACCTGGGTCCTGACGCTAATTCTCCAATCAACATCGATTCCAAAAGCTATGAACTTACCAAAAAGAACATTGAGAAGCCGAGCAGGTGGACATTTGATGAAGCAGCTGTAAGTTTTCAACTTTTACACACTCTTAGTTATGAATAATTTATATATACAGCACTGACATCAGTCTGGATCCAACAAGAAATAATTCTAGTTTTATTATAAAATCCCATAAGAATAGAAACTACTGTTGGCCAAATGTTAAGAGTGTTATATCCTCATACTGCTTTGTAATTACAATAATTAGTTTGACTACATAACTGCATATCAACTACAGGCCACCAATAAAATATGGACTGAGTGGGTTTGATACATTGATGTTTGATTTGTAAAGATATATTTATTTTTACACGTGTTTTTGCTTCATTTGAGTTAATTGCAGTAAATGGCCAGTAAAGTGAGACTTTTTCAAGTTTTAACATGGCTGAATCTGAGAAAAAGAACTTAAAACTAAGCAATAAAACCACCACAAGTTATTACTGTGTATAATAAAAGATTTACACAACATAATCTGTTAAGATACTTAATGTTATTTTGAAAGATGTATTTAAGAAAATTGGCATTTTTATCTGCAACTATGAGCTTGAAGGTCAGAGAAACTTCTAAATGGCAAGAAAGCACCATTTAAAGAATTTTAACATTAAATCAACAGAAAACTTTTACAGAAATAAATTTAGAAACACAAGGTATGCATGGAGTTAAAATCAGCAATAGAATTATTGAAAGGAAATTGTAAGAAAGTGATCTATATGAAAGCTGCAGATACAAAGGAAAAGAAGTCGCAGGTGAAACGGATCAAGTATTTGCATTTCAGGAAGAATAACAAAAATGTAAAGAAACTATAAGCTGTGTAAAAATCTGGTAAACAGAGCCTTAGCTTTTTTTTTTAATTTTGGAAGATTTTTGTGTGACAACATGATCGTAAAAAATTTCAACAAAAGTGATAAGCAAGAGATCAAATGCGATGGTGGATTATTAATGCTCTGGAGATGGTATTCTGCAGCAGGAGTAGGAAATGAGTGTGAAAAATAATAATATGATGAGGAAGAAACATTATCACAACATTTTGGTTTATCACATGTTGAATTTTCCAGCAAGATAATGGTTCAAAACATACAGTCCTAATAAATAAGAAATATTTGGAATATATGATATGGTATTTTTATATTATAAACTAAACTTGTGTTATAAACTTAAGTTTGCTGGTGTGTCACTAAAAAGTCTATTAATATAAACTAAACCATTTTATCAATGCTTTTTATGCATTGTAAAGTTCATTTACTTTTTAGATTTGATAAGAAATGGAAAGTTCACTATTGACTATCTGCAAATGTAATCTTGGTTGTATGACCTCTATAGTTGTTGCCAATCTAGGCTTTTTGTGTCTTTTCATTGGTTGATAATGGTTGGTCAATTCTTGGTGACCAAAAAATTGACTTTTAGAGGTTTTTGACATGATGTTATCCAAGTTTCCCTAATTGTGGTCAGCTCAGTTTGCACTGATAATATTGCTAACCAGGTCAGTCAAATGAGTTAGATATCTCAAAGCAGTGACATGACATCTTGCTTTAGTCTTTATATAATGTATTTTTCTATGTAACTATAAATAAATAGGATTAATTTTTGGCCATATTATCTGTGATAGCTTCATGTATAATCGTGTATTTTGACTTGTATGCTTATTCTGTGACTCTCATTTTTCACTATTTTTTGCACTTAATAAAACACTGATCATTTTACAGGGAAAAACCTTTTTGTCATCTTCTTATATTTCTTCTCTTTACCACGATGCTTATTCTGACCAATTCAGTCTTCAATCATTTTGTTGTTGTTAATTAACTTGTTTATCATAAAAAAGGAAATAAAAGTTAGGAAGTGGCCCACCTAACGTATCAGTGTTAATCCAATTAAAAATTTAGAGAACCAGTTTAAAATTGATGTTGCAAAAAATAAGCCAACTAGTTTAAGGTATCTTTTGGACACTGTACTGCACACATGAAAATAAATGCCAATTAATAGTCTTAAAAATAAATAAAAACTGATAAATCCATGGCTGTTCAATATTAATATGAACCTACTGAATATGGATTACTCAGTCTGTTGTATTCCAACATTAACTACTTATTTCTAATGTAGTAATATTGAGAAATTTAAATCAAAACAACATTTTTTATTTTACATTTAATGAAAAATTTTGTTGATAACTTGAACTGAGACTTTTAACTAATGTTATTTAGATGATTATCTTTTGACACTATGGTTTTTATTACCAGAATCATAGAAAATATGAACTTTAAGTAGAAGCTATTGATTTCTATCTTTACACGTTTCCTAGATAGCATTTTTCAAGGAACAGAAGAATGTAAGAAAAATGTTATACCATGTACCCTGTTTGTTTTAATAGTCTTTTTTTCTGATTGATACAGGCCCACCTTTACCACCTTATGAAGAATGACAGTTATCAGAGGTATCTACGGTCAGAGATGTACAAGGAATACCTCAGTGGAACAAAGAAAAAAGTAAGTTATCGTTTATTTTATGTATTACTAACGGACAACCATTTTATTGTCAACTGTATTGTGTTACTTCAGTTTTGGCATTCAAAAATTGTGACAATTTTTAACTTGAAAAATTTTATAACTGTTTGGAAGTGCTTTCAATAAAATATATGTGTTAATAATGAATTCATACAGTTACTTGATTATAGGCATAAAAAATAATTTAAATTGCTATCAACTCTTACACTATTATAAAGCTTACATAAAACAGCCACAAAGGTATCTCCTACTGATCAGCCAAAATGTCAAGAAAACATTTAAAAAGTGATTCCTTATTAATTATTTTATTGAACGATAGATAAGAACTGGTAATATTGCAATAACTTTTATTTCTCATTACTTTCAAAAGCAAATAGTTTTGTTTAAGTTCATACTTTGGTATTCATTTTTTTCTACCCACCTCTTTCTGTAGTCCTCAATAAAAGGTATTCGCTCAGTGATCTTTCCAGGCAGGAAGGACCAGAATTCAACCTAATATTTGTGGTCACACTACTATGTGTACAGGTAAGATAGACAAAGACAAAATGCACTTAAAATACATAACTGTATCACTAGTGTTTAATTTTTACTCATCTTCTGTGTGATCTTTTTTTCCTGAAAAATCTATTCCTTATTTGTTAATCATTTATTATATTTTACTGTTGAAGTTAGAACTTTCATTTTCATTAAAGAATTATATACAGTAAAACCTTACTGAAAAGAAAGGCAACTGCTAAACTTTGATTTTAAAATATCTTGATTGATTTTCTGAAAACTATGATGTAGTTAAACTTGCAAATAGATTTAACGAGTATTGAAGAAAACAAGTTATTCAAACTGAACTGGTATATTTAAGTGTTTTACACTCACAAAAAAAAGAAACCAATCATTCTATAGGTATTTGAAGAACTTGTAGCATTCTGCCACAATTTAATTCTTCTTGTTAGCCGACACTGAGCAGCTGTAGTACATAATTGAATAGAGTTGTTTTCATACAAAGACTTACGGTCATCATGCTTATTCTGATATCATAAGAAAACTGCACAAAAAAACCACTATGGTAAACATTTTGTTTAAGTTAAAATTGTTTCTGGTTATTTGATTTTTTTCCAACTTCTTCTGATTCTAGTTTTTTCAAAATTGTACATGCACAGGGGGTAATAGTATGTCTTTTGTGTAATTTAATAATTGAAATTGCTTCAGATTGTGACGACAAGTAAAAAAGTAATAATGTAATATATAACATTAAAAAATTTATTGTTTGTAGATCTGAAACAATATTTTCTAATATATAATAATCAAATGTCTGTCTGTCACACTCTATACCTCCTGAATGGTTAATCATAGAAGAAAGAAGAAGAAAAAATATATTTATATCCAAATACTTCTTTTAAAAAGTACATTATTCATTTGTTGCAATTCTTAAAATTTGATATCAACACCAGCATAAATCCATCAGTCTTTGTATGTTCTGAATGGTCACTCTGAGAAAAAACTTAAGAACAGATATATATATAAATATACACACACATGCATATTTGTTGTTCGTTTTTTTTTGTTGTTGTTGTTTTTTCCCCATGTTGGGATTATATAAAAAATGCATGATTTTATTGCACCATGTCGAATAAATTGATTTGAATTGAATATCTTCCCTTTGACACTTTTTATGAAAATGACAGCTGTGAAAAAAGCACTCACTTCAGTAGGGGTTTTTCTTGTGCTCAGTAAAATGACAAGGAACAGTGGCATCCAGTGAAAAAAATTCCCCTGGTTACTTAGTGAAGGTGAGCACTCTATTGTGCTGTATGTGCCCATTGCATCGAAACCTAAAATGTTTGCCAACAATACATTGCAGTCAGGCTCCAGGCTCCTTTGCTTAAAAACAAATGCAATACAATTTTTGTTATTGAAATAATACATGGAATGACAAAAGATGGTTGTAAACGGCCTACTAGAAAATCATATTGCATAATGCTATAATCCAAGGGATTGGGTTAACTGCACATTTGATATTTATTCATTATTTTAGGAAAATTACTACTGAATTGTTTCAACAGGCATCTGCTAGTTTTTAATAAATTATAATATTAGCTTTTAATATTTTCAGAAGGCTTTTAAAAAATCTACTAACTTCTTCAAATGGCTTCTTTCAAACTTATAAGCTAAATATTTTCAAACAAGTATTGAATACAAATTACAAATTTTTTCATTTAGGATCCATTTTGACCCTAGTGGAAGAATCTTTCACCTGATGAGGACAAGTCATCATTCATCAACTGAACTAGTCACCTTCATTTCTGAGAGAAAAAGCAGGAATCTTGAATGTTGTCATTGGTGGGACAGGACTTCATCATCTAATTTGTTAGATGTCTCTTGAGTATGATTGGATCATCCCACTTAATAATTATTATTGACGTTATTTTATTCTATGATCATGCCCTGTTTCACAAGTATGAGGACATAGTTTACATCTCCTAGCATTATAAAATTATTTATCTTTATATGAACATTCAATTTAAAACTTAGCAAATACTAAAAAAGTTCAAGTAGAAGTAAAGGATCATTTGGATCAAATCAACTTTAATGACAAAGCAAGAATTAAGAAATAGATTGCCTCATGTTCTGCCTTCTCTGTATAATAAGATTCTGCACTGTTATTGCCTTTAGCTAAATTTTTATTTCCTATAAGCTTTGTCATTCAGTGCTAATAATTAGGCGTAGGAGATCTGAAGTGAGCAGGAGAACAAAACATTTTGTAAAAAAATGTTATGCTAAGGAAGTGGAAATTTCTAAATAACAGTATATATGTATTTAAACTATCTAAAAATGGATAAAAGTTTAGATGTATCTGTATAACCGACAAGTAAGGTTAACAAATAAAACTTTTGAATAGAATTATGGAATACAGCTAAGAAAAATAGCACACACAAAAAAGTACCAGCTTATGTTGTCATAGTATTTTTTAAGTTCAATCTAAAAAATATATGATTCCTTCTGTGATGTAGTGTGTCCTTTAAGTTTAATTTTGAAATAACATGTGAAAATAAAGGAAAAATCATCATGTCTTGAAAAGATTAATAAAGTTTCACGATTGCAAAATTATTTCCCAAGCATATTTACAGCTTTGTTACTATACTTGAGAACTCCGGATTTGACCCGAAACACTGGTGACTTAGGCCTAAACTACAGGGAACTGTTGCTTGAGCCGTGGGAATTTATTCGGTGTTTTAAGCTGTAAAATGATATATTTAATTGTTGTTGTTGGTTGAATTATGTCAATGACATCCAGTTACTTTATGATACAAATGGCTTTTCGCATTCACTTACAGAACAGCAGCCAACGGATACAACAAGCATCAAAAACAGAATATAAATGTACTGGATTATTAGAACTGTAACAAGTGAAATGTTACATATATGGGGGGGGGGGATTTTTCAAGGGCCTCAAACACAAAGTCAACTAAATCCAAACGTTTCTAGGTATGTTTTCTACTAATAATAGTACTATTGAATTAATTTGTTGGAATAAAATATTTAACAATTTGGTACTGTATAAATATATTCAAAAAAAAAGTATATGACATACAGATATTACCCAGATTTAGAAGGAAGAAATAACTATATTAAGTAACATATGATAGAGATCTTATGCAGCCCTAAAAGGTAGTAAGAATTGTATTAAATATAATTTAATAGATTTTGTGCAATCTTATAAGGTTAAAAAACTTATTAAACATTACAAGTTTTGTGGCATCCAGTAACTGCGGTAAGCTTGTGGATTTGTAACCCTAATGTTCGAGTTTGAGCACAGTTAAACCATTGTGCAGCTTTGTGCATAAAAACAACTAACAAAGACCTTGTGCAGCCTTTCCAGGGAAAAAAATAACAATGATAAAAGTTAGTGTTGTATAAATTTTATACAGTCTTGAAGGGTATATATATATATATCTGTGTGTGTGTGTGTGTGTGATATCTATTTACTTTTCTCGTATAGTTACTCTCGTGATAATTTATCTGTGAACAGTATTTTAACATCAACAGTAACAAATAAGAATATACAATCGGAAGTTAAACAAGAACGATAATGATAGTTTGTAAAACACTCATGAAAAATTAATAATGTGTTTGTGTTTCAGAGTAATAGGTTTGAGAGCATTTTCTCGAATATTCCCTTTTAGTTTGAACTGGGTACTCCTAATGAAAATTAGAATTCAATGACCTATGAAAACTGTGCTGAAAATTTTGTCAACTCTACACTATATATATATATATATATATATATATATATATATACATATATAATATTTTGAATGCTTTACATAAAGTTATTGATTATTCATTTAATGAAACATCGAATACCTGATTATGTAAAAGTATACACACAAAAATATAGTTGTTAGACATTTTTCACAATCTTCCTTATTAACTAACTAACACCATTTATTCCGTTGAGTTGGCTATGGCCTAGCGGTTAGCATGTTCCAACTGTGAATCCGAGGATTCATGATTCATCACCATCTGCCAAAAAAATGCGCTCCTCTTTTTATGACCTTAAGTACGTTATAAAATCGACGAACAAATCTCACTATTTCGTCATAGTAAGCGATTGTTTGTTTGTTACGGATTTCGCGCAAAGCTACACGAGGGCTATCTGCGCTAGCAGTGTAAGACTAGAGGGAAGGCAACTAGTCATCACCACCCACCACCAGCTCTTGGGATACTTTTTTACCAACGAATAGTGGGATTGGCCGTCACATTATGACACTCCCACGGCTGAAAGGGCGAGCATGTTTGGTGGGACGGGGATTCGAACCCGCGACCCTCAGATTGCGAGTCGAGCGCCCTAACCACCTGGCCATGCCGGGCCTTTTTTATTAAATAGAGAAAAAAATGTTTCACAATAGTTTAAAATAGAACCTAATGGAAATGGAAATGAATTCTCACCCCATGGGATGAAACAAGAACAACATGTTGTTCAAAGTTAGCCTCATGACACAAAATGTATAAGACTTATTGGAGCAAAATAAAAAGTGATAGAGTGAAAAACGTTGGTAAGTCAAAATAATACATGGTTATGTCACTGGGTAATACAAAAGTATGTATTTTTGGTGTGTGGTATTATGTTTGTAGCAAGACGTTTCTTTTGTTCGATTATATTGCTCAGTTTTTGGGTGGCCTGATATGGCTGAAAGATTAGCGTATCCAGATTGTGAAACCTATGATTCATGGTTTGCACCTCTTTGTTACAAGAAATGTGATCCACACTTTAGGGCCCCTGTTGGGCTATAAAAATGATGCTTAAATCCTACTCTTCTGTCAGATGAGAGTAGGCCAAGATTTAGCAGTAGGTGCTGTTTACTAGTTGCCTTCCCTCTAAACTACCAGTTCCAAATTAGGGACAGCTATGCAGAGATAGACCTTTGTGCTGAACTCGCTTGAAGATTCTGAAACAAACAGTTCGTTTGTGACGATTTCTGTTTATTTGCTCTCCAAAAAATCAACTTACATTGTCTGTTTATGAGAAGTTTTAAAAATTGGATTGAACGGGACATTATAACGCCCTCACGGCTGAAAGGCCAGCACTTTTGGAGTGACAGAGATTCGAACCCGCGACCCACAGATTGCGAGTCGAGCGCCCTAACCACCTGGCCATGCCAGGTCCCATAGTAACGGAAGTCCAAGAGTTGACAATAGGGGCTGTTAGCTAGCTGTTTTCTCTCTTTTATCGGTTCGAAATTATGAATAAATATTCGAAGAGAGGCTGTGTAGCTTTGCGCAAAAATTCTGAAACTAACCAGAAGTATTTTATTTTAGTTGCTATTTTTTTAGTAAACTCAACATTAACATTATTTCATCCTAAGCTTAGTATGTAACACTTGGTAAAGACAATTTAATTTTTTGTTTCTTTTCCTGTCCAGGGCAAAAAAAAATGCACAGGGTGCGATTAGTATTTTTTTACAGCTGTTTTCACAATACTCGCATATTTTAGATTACATTGTAGTATCATAATGTTAGCAAGTACTTGAGTTTAAATAAAGATGTATTGTTTTAATGGACCGGACTTGTCTCAGTGATTAACATTCCAGGACTGTGAATCATGGTTCTCATTCCGTTGCGCAAAAACACGCTCAGCATTTTGGGGGCGTTGTTGTGCTATCAGGATAACGGTTAAGTTCTACTGTTCGTTCAGGTAACAGTTGGCGGTGTGTGCTGTTGAGTTAGCTGCTTTTCATCTAATCTATCAATTCAAATAAGAACATCAAACGCAGATAGCTCTTTTGTAGCTTTGCGCTAATTTCTGAAACTAACAAACAATCCTTTAATAAACCACAAAAAAGAAACGATTCCATAAAATGATAAGAGGAGCTTTTTTTTTTTTATAAAGTCACAGGGAATGTGGCTCCAACTCTTTTTTTTTTTTAAGCAATTATGAGAACACGGCGACTTTCAACTGGGCAACAAAAGCCTCTTGTGATATGAATTGATAGTTATGTGATCATTTTTAGTGACTTTGCCATAGATGAAATTTTCTAACCCTTTTAAGAATTGTTTTTAATAGGTTAGATTTTTAAATAACAATCGTTTGTAATCCTTTTCTGTCCACAGAGGTCAAGACCTTAAAGACTTGTTTTCTTCAATTATGACATAAAATTGATGTTCAGACGGTTCAGCGTTACTTAAAGGTTGAAGTAAGATCATATTCAGAACATTTTCATGGAATGGGCTGTTGCTTTTTATTCAATTACCAAGAGCACAAAACCGTTGCTTTATTGTTATTGGAACTGTTCTCTTTTTTTTTCAGTATTAAGAGGACTGAGTAATATACTATGTGCGCCCTTATCTTCTTGCGTGCAGAATGAAAATTGACCAATCAATTACGGAACTGTTAATTAATAAATATTTTACAAGTGTAGAATTTTAAGTCACTACTTAACAACAGTTATAGTCTTTCTGCGAGGTAAATATTCAACGTGTTTGTTTTGAATTTCTAGAAATTAAACAGTTCATGATTTAGATGAAAGCAGTTTTTATGCATTGATCACTACATCTAAAATTTTGTTTACTATATGTATATATATATATATATATATATATATATATATATATATATATA